CACAGGCTTGCAGGGAAAACCCAGACTCCCCATTTGGAAGAGAAGGGACCTGGAAAAACCAAGGGATTTATCCACAGAAGTGAGACACACTCCCATGGGCAAAGTGCTGAGTTCCTGATACAGGGAATCCTTCCGTGCTTGCAAACACTTAATCATATTACATCTTCTGTGGAGCCCATTGTTGAAATCCTGCTTTAATTCTCCAACAGCTGCTTCCTAATATGGACTAATACAGGTTGCATTACATCTCTCTATTTTTAGTGCACATGTTTTTGGCCATAACAACTGCTCTTTCAGGCCAAGTCAAACCTGCAGAGAAAACACAGCTAAGAGACAATGATTAAAGATGGGGAAATGCAACGTAGCAATAACATGTGTTTAAGATTTATACCTGTTCAGGGAAAGCATTCCCTACATTTGATACCTGTAGACCAGCACTTACTCTAAATTATTACCAGCTTTGATAAATTGTTAAAACAGGTTGCAAAGTAACAAAGTGCAGAAAAGCAACACGTTGTTATTTTGTGAATTAAAATATTGATCTTCCTGTTATTTCACTGTATGTGAAATAACATTAAAGGAAAAACTGCATTAAAGGAAAAACTGGTTCATTTAAACTGACAAAAGGGTTTAAAGCAAACCCACATTTAAAAAGTAATTTATGAGGTCTATATCATAAACATGAAATAACAACCTTCCCTCCAAAGACAAGCTGCTCTCTCTCATGCTCCTGGACTGTATTTTTATCAAACCCTTTCTATGTAAGGAGACTTTAATACATCACTGGAGACTTTTGGAGAAGTTGTAACAGAACTTACTTTTCCCAAAGAAACAGAAAGTTTTATGACATGGTTAGAGGAGATTCCTATGCTTTCACAACATGGTTTGATTCTGTCTTGAGCATTGATATTTTCTCAAAATCAAGAAAAACTGAATTTTTTTTCCATCCACAGACTCTGATGGCAAAGGAAACATGCAAAATATGTGTCCAAATCTCAGTAAATAGTTAACCTACTGTTTTTCCATGATAGTTAAAAAAAAAAATAATCCATTTACTGCAGCTGAAGCTGTGGTAGATATTGTCACATGGAAACAGCTTTATTGTATGTCACAAGGTCACAGAGACAGGACAATGAAGGAAGCTCTATCTCAGAGGTTGGGCACTGCAAAAATCATGTATGATGCCTTAAAAGAGATCCTTCTCTCCTGCCTGGTTCTTCTGCAGGGAAATTCTTACTTGTATTAAAACCTGCAAACAAAACTCCCTTTGACTCCACTCTCTCCATAGCAAAAACACTTCTCCAGGTTCTTTGACAAGAAAGTTGTCAGAGCCTGTCTTTACAATGAGAGCAGGGTGTGACACGTTTGTGCAGATGCTGCCCAGTGTCCAGAGATGAGAAGTGTTTCACATCACTGGTGTGAAGCTTTCCCATGTTCCTCACGACTCCCTGCTCCACAGCAAATGAAACCCAACCTTCCCTTCCTTCCCCCCCATTGCATGTGCACCTGGAAACCTTTTAATAGGTTTTCTGTTTGCCTCACAGGGGCTCATGTTCATGCCTGAGCAGAAATGTGCATTGTGACTTCAACTCTCTCTCTCGCTGGATGACAGGTGATAAAAATAAAACATATTCACATATCATATGACTAACAATAGCACCTGGCCCATGGTGATGGGATCCCTCCTCTGCTGCTGGAGCACTTTGGAATTCAAACAAAGGAACTAAAACATCAGCCCTGGGACTTTTTTTAACCCATTAGTAGACACTTTCAGGTTCAAATCTCAAGGATCCAGTCATGCAAAACCTTAAGTACTTTCCCATTCTTGACTACAGCCAGATTAATCCTCTTATACAGATTATTCCAGGAGAAATTTGGCTCCCACAAAGTTCTCCTGCAGACCTAAAAATAATTTTGAGTGCTGCAGGACATGTAACACCACTCAGACTAAAGGAGTTGTTTTAAGAGATTTTAACCACCCCTTATCAAACCAGCCTGATGGCATTACCTGGCCCCAAGCCACTTTCCCTCCCCCTAGGCTGGGGTCTGCAGGGAGAGCACCACATTTCTGGGTGGGACATGGGGCCAATGGAAAGCTGTCCTCTCTGAACCCCTCAGCAGCACTTCCTAATTAAGTTAATTTTGCTTTCTTAAAGTGCTTTCCTGCTCCTCCTCCAAATACTCACACATTACATCACCAAGAAACTTTGTTTATCAAGTTATTAAGTTCATATATCACAGGGAATTTGCCACTGAGCAATTTAGCCCTGTTTGAATTTTTATGACGTGATCAATAGTTAGCATTAAAAATTCAGCTGATGTTTTGTACTTTGATACCCAAATAACCCCAGATTATGCAAGCTACCTCTGAATTATAGAATTTTAAGAAGAGAATACATGTAGAGGTGGTTCTTGTATATTCAGAAAATACAAGAACAGCAGTAAAGGATTGGAAAACGCCCAAGCATGGCAGTTCTGTGCCCTTGAAAAATACTCATTTTATACTGTATTTACACAGACCTGTCTTTTTCTGTCTCTGTCATTCCACAATACAGGGTTTGTATCTAAGATGTCTGGCATAGAAATATCCCCATGTATTTACAACCTCCAACCTTTCCTGCCAAGTTTCAGCCTGGGTGAGCCAAATTTTAAGCCAGTGGAAAACAACCTCTAGTACAAATCTGACCAGTCCATGTTGGTGAGTATCACCGTAAGGAGACCTTTTTCCAAGAGAAACTCTGGAAGCACACCCCTAGATGGTCACTTACACACTTTTTATTAGAAATAGACCTTTTTTGTGTCAGACAGGATTATTTTTTTTTGTTTCTAAACTCCTTGAGCACAAAAGTTAATCCAAAGCAGACAGGAGGCAATTAGGTCGTTAACGTGCTGAGCCTATTAACAACCATGAGTTACATTTGTGTCCCTCAACAATGACAAATATCCAGGGGTCTGCCTTTAAGTGGGAAAGCCCACAAGCAATTGCATTATTTTAGGACAGGGCTACTGCCAAGCAGCACTGCAGGGGCTTGGCTCCCTTCTTAGCACAGCAGAAGGAATCAGCACCCAGGGGTTGGGAATTCTGTTCCCAGCTGTAACAGTGGGTCCCCAGAAGCCTTCAGGAAGCATGAGGTGCCAATGGAAATACTCTTTTTTCAGTATCTTGTTTTAGTATCTTCATGTTCACTCAGCTCCTCTTTCCCTTTGTGATCCTGTGTAATTATTGCCCAGTGTCTCCCCAAATTCCTTCCTTTAGTTCCTCCTGTCAGGGAGGGAATTCCAGTTCTGCCAAGGACAGGGAGCATCCTTGCCCCTAGAAAAAAGGCCAAAAGGTTCCGTGGCCAAAGGGTGAGGCTGATTTCCTAGACTGATTCTGATTCAATTCAGATTTTAACTAATGGCTGTCTCATTTTACAGTGTAAGAATTCTGAAATGCATTTTCTGTTACCACAGGGCTGCAGCACCTATGGAACTTGGCTGGGAAATCAGAGCAGTGCTGAATTCTGATGTTTTCTCTGAAAAGAGACATAAGGGATCTGTAACTGTAACCAGATCCAAGATTTCATCCTCAGAGAATCAGAAAGAAGATTGGCTTAGTCTGAACCCCTGAGAATGATAAACTTGCTGAACTATTAAGAGCTCAGCTCCACACAGGAGAAAATAAAGGTCCTGGCTGCAGGATTTACCAGCAGCACTGCCAGGGAGGATGCAGCTTAGAAGCAGGCACAGGTTAAACACAAAAACTGAGATACAAAGCCTTACAGGCAAACTTCAGCTTCCTGGCTGCCTGTTCCAGTGAGCTCCTTCAGGAGCTATTCCCACAAAGAAGCTTTTTGTGCCTCCTGTTGCTGCCACATCCTTCCATGTCCAACTTGCAGCCCTTGTCCCTGAGCACTCAGCTCTTCCCACACCAGTGATTCTCACCCCTGCACTCAGAAAACCTCCCATCCAGGAGAAGGCAGGAGAGGAATGAAAGGAACAGAAAATACAGGGACACTGCAACCTAATGAAAAATTTTCACAAAGTTCATAAAAAATACCTGCTCTGCAACACACCCAGAGAGAATCTGAGAAAGGATAAAATTAAATTGCTCTAAAGAAGCCAAAAAATAGTTTATACTAGCTGGCAATTTGACTGTGTGGCTTTTAAAGTGGGAGAAGACAGGACATGATTAATGAACAGAGTTGGCCATTTTCTCCTGAAAAATGATAGCAAATTATAATATATGATATAATAGCTATTTTATCAGATAGAGCTTAAGTTTGATGAGTCAAACACCAGATAGAAAAGAAAAATCAAGCTCCTAGTTAAAAAAAATCATCTTGCTGAACTACATTTCGTAGTTCCAAACGCACACAAGCCCTTATAAAAGCAATTAAAAACCATAAAATAATACAAAGTCTGCTCAGTTGACCCTGATATGGATTGTGTGCTCTGCTAGACAGAACTAAGAATGACGGCATGAGAAGTTGAAAAAGAAAGCAGATTGTTTTGAAAGACAAACTGTGCATCTCTTCCACCTCCAAATATCCCTTTATCCTATTATGAGCTGGATCCCTGGAGTTGTATTCCACAGATGAAACTTCAAATTTTAAGTTATAATTAATTAAGTTATATCAAAGTAGCTGAAGTGATGTTTTCCACACTCCAAAATGGGAGGATCACTATTCTATCTCTGCTTGCTTAGGACAACTCCAGTGGAAAGGCAAGACAGAAGAGCCCCCATCAACACTGACTTCTGTCCTTTGCTTAAAGTCCAGTGAATCCCTCCCTGAGCAGTGGTCACACTGCAAAATTAGAGCAGAATTTATGACCTCACAAGTCCAGTGTTACAGCACGTGCCCTGACAACTTCGTATCTGTGATGTGACTCCTGCCTGAAGAAGCAACAGGATTCACTCACACTTGCCATCCTTCCCCAGCTGTGGCTGCCCAACCACCAGAATTACAAAATACAAACAGAATTCCCATGGCTGCTTTCTGAAGCCACTCCAAGCTCACCTGCTACAACTTTGCAGTGCTCCTCAGGGCCCTGTGGCTTGGTGGGATGGCCGGGTTTTGTGGATCGTCTCCGCCTGATGAAATGTTCCTTCCCACTGAATGAGGTCTCAGACGCATTCACAGGTTGGATCAGCAGCTGCTCTGATCCAAGCTGGATGTAGCCAACCTGTCCACAAAACAGAACAAAAAAACTCCATCAGTTTGGTACCTGAGCCTTGTCTATCCAGCCCAATCTGAAACCCAGGTCATTTCACTGCAATCATTTCCAGTGTGAGGAAATGATGTCATGGTTGTGTTCAGCCTGGGTGATACAGACTAAAAACTTCATTTGCTTCTCTTATTTATTTTTTGTATCACTGAGCACTATTTAGAAACAATGCACTGTACTTGCACAAAGGAAAGGTGGGGATTCCTGTCAACACTTTTGCTTTCCCTTCCGCTCCCTCCAGACACAGCCCCACAAATATGTGTGTTTTACAAGATGCTCAGCTCACATGAGGACAAATAAATCCTGTTAACAGAAATCCCTTTAAAATCACCTCTCCAACTGCCAGGATTGCCTTGCTATTGAATGACATTTACTATCTCAGAGCACAGAGGTGACACTGCCTGCACACAGGAGGCCTCTGCGTGTACCAACCTCACAAGGAACACTGAGAAAACTGATGCAAATTTTTTGGGACCAAATACCTCTTCCTGACTCCATTGAGGACCACACAGTCAGCTCTGCTCTCTCCTGCAATTCCAGGGGTTGGATTTCTGAGGTGAAGTGAGGAATGGACTGTTGCACTGTCCCAGTTTCAGGATTTTCCACCATCTCTGGAATAAGTGACACTAGGAAGGCAAAGACCCTGCCTAAATAACTCCATAGAGCCCAGGTCAGAGCACTAAAATCCCTGCCTTCCTTGCACCAATTCCAGACCTTACACCAGGGCTGGCAAGAACACCTTTGGAAGCCAGCTTCTGCCCCAGGAGAGCCCTCCTCTGCTCACAACCCAGAGCTTTTAAGGTTCTTTTATACTTTTTCCACTCCTTTTCTGGCACGAAAAGAAGAGAGTGAAAGCAAAGTTATCACCTTAAAACTTAACAAAGCCTCCAGGTTTAGTAATCAACACCGAGGTTGTAACACTTTGCACAAAGTGAGTATTTACAATGAGGGGCTCTTACTTTTCATTGTACTAATCCAGTGATTATTTATATTGCAATTAGAAGTCTCAAAACACAGCTCTGCCATGTACTTCCCCCTTGAGAGAAGTCTTGAGGTCTGATTTAACTTCTGTTAACAACAGAAGGGCTCATCTGGTCTGCCAGGATTGTGCACCTGAGAGGTAAAGGTGCTTCCAGAGAGCTCCAACACCCACCCTATACATAAAAAGAGGGGCCAGACTTTTCTGATCCCCCCCTCCCCACGTTCTGTGCCAGCCAGGCAGCTCTCCAAAGAAATGCTCTGCACGTACATCCAAATGCTGTATGTTCAACAGCTGACTGTACTAATATGATTTATAATATACATTACATACACACTATATATTGTACATTTCCACACCTCCCTGCCAAATTCAGTCCTCACGTACACCCAGGAAATCCCTTTGGCCCAGTATTTCCAGCAAGAGGAATTTCTGCTAGCAGAAATGAGAGCTCTCCTCCCTTGACAGCCACACAAACTGAACAGCATTCAGGGGAAACCAGGGTGTCTCAGAAAGGGTCACTGATTTCCAAAAAGCACTTGGACAAAAATAAAACTGTAAAATTTGGTGTCTCCACTGATCATGGCTGCAAAGCACAGCAGAGACAATCAGTCTCTGAGGAAACAAGAGACACCTCTTTGGGGGCCTTCCAAAAGAGGTCATGCTCTTGGGGCAGGGGAATTGCTTAAGGATAAAATGCCTTGGCACTTCCTACTTACAGAGAAAACCCAACATTATTCCTAGGACCTACAAAATGCTTACCAGTATACAAGACCCACTCTGCGCTGGAGTGTCCAAAGTGCTGCCTTTTCACTTAAATCACAAGCTGGGCTTTGTAAGAATTGCTTCAGAGACAGCAAAAGCTCTGGTGACTTGTTCTTCCAGCCTCCTTTACGATGCTCTCCACTACTTCCCCTCCTTGTTCCAATCCTCCTGCTGGGAGGTAGCCCCAGCCCCCTTTTTTAATATAGGTTTTAATTATTTAGAAGAAGGGTTGTAAATCTGGTGCCATGGTACTAAAAGCCATACCAGAGCTCCTGACAGACTGCCAACCATTTCAGCTGGTGCCAAAAATATGTAAGAAGAAGTCAGTTTCATCACCACCCGACATTATCCCAATTTTCTGGCATCAAGAGTGAAAATAATTTAAACCACTGGAAAAGACTTATGTTTCACATTTGCTGTGGAATTGTGAAACCTATGGAGAGAAAGAGCCATGAGTCTTCACCCTGGAATACGTTGGGAAACATCTCAAACTCAATCTGACAAGGCAAATAGAGTTTCAAGCAGGGTTTGCAGGATCAGGCCTGTAAAGTATCCCTAGGGAGTTAAAAATTTCCCCACACTTGCCAGTTGGGTTCTGAAGAGTCCCCAGACCTGTTGGCCCAGAGAAGATCTTTTGGACCCTGTATTTTGAACTGTCTGGTCATTATTTTGCTTTTTCCATAAGAAATTAATTTCTCATTTGCACACCTCAAATCCTCCAGATCCTGCCCTGTGCTAATCCCAGCACGAGAGATCAGACATCAGCCCTGGACAAAGGCTCTGTGCTTTTCTTCTCTTTTCTGTACGAGTTGAGGGATTGCAGAAAGCTTTGGATTTTGAAGATAAGGAAGTAAAACAGAAGACCACGTAACCCTCGGAGCTACTTTTCCCACATCTCTGGAAATCATTCCAATTAAGTGAAATGCTTTGGAACTGCCAATTCCCATTTGCTTGGAGAGATGCATATCAAAAGCTGGGATACTCCCTCCCATCCTTCTCTCCCTGTGGGAGTCCAGGACCTGCCGCTGTGCCAGATCCTGGGATAGCTGAATTTTGGGAAAAGCAGCTGCTGCCCAACCCCACCATCCTGGAGAATCTGAGACACAGGAACCCAAAAAATTCAGAGGAGTGCAGGGGTTCACCATCATCTGCATTAATTTTACAGTTGGTATGGCCAGACCATGCAGCTGACAGAATCCTGCAGCTCTGCTAACAAGAAAGGCTGGAATGATTTCAGCCTCCAAAGGCAGGCAAACTGACAAGTTGATTAAAACAAACAATAATCCACACTTCCCACTACAGCCCCACTCACCACTGTGCTTAACAGTGGCAAGATCTTTCACATTAACGATATTTCATATCCTTATTTTAGAAGTCAGCTCAGCATTGCTCACCACCAAAACATTCCTATGCTCTTATCCAGGGTTTCACACACACAGTGGTCACTCAAGCAACCTGTTCACTTTGTTCTACTCTTTTACCACCAGTAGTCCACTCCTCTGCTACAAATAATTTTCCAGAGGAGCTTTTTTTAGGCTAAATGACAGCAGGGAAAGAAGGAAGGTCCTCACACTGTGTCACTGAAATGCCAGTGGTAACACAGCCTTTGTATGACCCCATCCTGCCTCCTTGGCTTCTGTCCCTGTGCCCTGGTAGTGCTGGTGGAGCTACAGCAGCTCCAGGGCCTGCTCAGAACAGGGATCCAAATTCTCCGTGTTCTCTGCACATGGTTCTCGACCTTCCCACATGTTAACACTCTCCAACAGTTACACTGTTTTTCCAGCCCTTTTTATTTTCACAACATCTTTGAAGGAGATCTGTGAAATGCTGAATCTTTAACAGATTTTTCTCTTGCTCCTAAGTGTTCATTAGTTACATACATACGAACACGCTGAAAAGAGAACAGATTTAAACATCTGACAAATTCCATCCCCTTCTCAATTTCTCAACTGTTACGCTGTAAATCGTTGTTTAACCATTTCCTCAAAGTTAAAAGGAAGTTAATGTTTAAAGTGAAGAACAAAACAACCCACAAATACAGTTTAATAAACTTCATGTGGGTTTTAGTCCCACCCTCATTTAACCATGTTTCAGCTTTGGTTGGTTATTATTTAAAAGTGCAATTCAAGCAAATTGAAAAGAAGAGTTTTAAATTAAGTTTCGTTCCAGAGTAATTTCAGGTTTACACTCAACTCTGAGAGGAGATCATACCCAGGAATATCTGTCCTGGCCTCCAACACTGCTAAACAAGGAAACCCCAACATGTTCTTCCTCTTGTCCACTGTGGAAGAGGAAAGAAAATCCCAGCACAAGGAAATCCAGCAGAGTAATTTTAAGAGGTTTAACTTTTCAGCTCATGGCCCAGCTATGGATGAATGCCAGACAGCTCCTCTCCCAGACAGGAGAGTTCAGCGGAGCTGAAGGTTTCCTCAGGGGAAATTGTATCATCTTATAATCCCCACACGCCTGCTCTGCCCTGCTTCCCACAGCAGCAGAGGCTCCTGAGTCACCTGAAGGGCAGCACCGCCCCTGTGCACACAGAAAACACTTCACTGGCCAGGGCTGGAGCTCACCGAGCTGCAGCATCAGCTCTGAACCAGGCAGCACCTCCTTCTGCAGTGAATGAAGGAGGGCAAACTCCTCCAGAGGGGCAATTCACCAACCTAAGGTACCTACAGCACAAGATGAACCATCAGGGAAGTGCCCATCTTTATCACTCACTCAGCCCTGGACAACCAGACTGGCCTAAACCTCCCAGACTGTGGCCTCTTCTGCATCCTTGCTCATCCTTTCCATGGACAGAGCATTTACTGTTTTACCAGGAGTCCTTGAAGTTACTGCTCATTCCCTGGAGGCTGCAGTCCAAGCTACTCAGTTCTCTTTGCCCTCACTGCCCTTCCAGACAGGATCCAAACCCACACCAGGACATCCTGCAAGGCACGCCCACCTGGAAATCAGTGGGACCTCAGAGGAAGAAGTCCAGATAGATGCTCTTATCATCTGTTCTTGTCTACATCTTACACCCTCACAAAGTTTATGGGTGGTCCCAAGTGAACAGAACATACCAGAATGAAGACCCACCATCCAGAAATATTTTAACAAGCTGGAAGATTTGTCTGCCAGGAGATGCAGGAAGTCTAACAAAGGCAAATGTACACAAAGCTTGGAAGAAAATAAGGCCTTTTGTTGTCTGAGTAGATTGTATGAGACTACAAAATATTTAAGTTTTTCCAACATCCAGTGTGCATCTCTTAAGGTGTAGTTTCAATTAGTCTATTCTACCCCACAAAGAGAAAAGTCACCATTCTCACTCCATGAGCCCTTGTAATGTGCATCATCCATTTCCATGCAAAAAGTTCAAAGGAGAAAAAACATTTAAAATGTTAAATGTTATATGAACTAGCCTGATCAGGAGGGAGGCACAAACTCCTCTCTTACTTCAACAGAGAAGGACAAGCCACTTTATTTAGAGACAAGACAAAGAGCAACCCTGAACCAAGATCAATGACTCTGGATTTTAAAATGGAAGAGAAATGATTTAGAATCAAACCTCTGCCTCTAAATGCATCCCAGTGATTTTCACCTTTTGGTTCCTGGACAGTTTTCAACAGTTTCCTTTAATTTCTAAGTATAATGTTTATTTTAACATGGACTCATGACCCTCTTAAAACTGTAACTGTTTCCAAAATGTAGGTACAAGAAACGTGAGAAGTCTATACCTGCTGTAAGGGGCTGATGCTGCAGTCCAGCACTTCAGCATGTGACAGTGACTCAACTGTGGCTTTACAGAGCTGGAACTTTCCAAAAAATAAAGTTCCTGTACTGGCTGTTGTCTTCTAGCGATGGTCCCAGGGGCTGCAGAACTGCCTGTGAGTGCCCAGCACCAGGGAAAGCCTGTGCAGCCCTGAGCTGTGGCCAGAATCCCAGGGCTGGCACAGCTGCACTCCCCAGAGGACAGCACTGTCAAGGGGAAGGCAGCAGCACTTTCCAGGAACACTGTGCCTCCACTGTGCTGAATTCCCAGTTTGTCACAAGGAACAGGAGGGCTGGAGCTTCCTCACATGAGGTACTTTAGCTGCACCTAAATGATGAGACCTTAGGTACAGCAGTCCTTACCTCCCTCTGACCTCACACAGCTCCGAGAGCACGGCCACCCTTCCCAAAGCAGGAAACTACAGCAGCCACACACTGGTTAACAGCAGCATTTGTGAGCAGAGCTTAAAAACCAGAGCCCAACCTTCAGATGCCACACTGGGAATCCGATATCATCACCAGGAAGCAATTGCTCAGTCTGGCTGCAGCTCAGTTTTCATGCCACTGTGTCAGGGATTTTGTTTTTACTAGAACTCTACTTGCCCTGATCATTTTATATCACTTTTGGTATGATTTATGGCACAGCTGAGAGTATGATTACAGGAAGGCCTGAGCCAGCTGTAGATCAGGACACAGCATTACTGCCCACTCTTACCTCTTAGCAACCAGCTTTTCTGAAGGAGATATCCTGATCACCCAGCTAGAGTCCAATGAGCATTCTCCTGCTGGAATTTTCAGGAAACCCCCCACTGCAGCACTAGAACTGCCCAGAATACAAATGCCAGGACAAACAGGCTGCAAGGTTTCCACTACCAAGGTCTTTCCTCCAGCCCAGCAGGTCTGGCCCATGTCCCACCTGTGAAAGCTGCTGCTGAGGGCAAAGCCTTATTCCTTCTGCAGCAAACAGGGCTCAAGGAAGCAACGGGAAAACAAAAAAAAATACAAACTTTTAAGAAGTGATGATCTTAGTATTTTAGATTGCCAGACTAGAAGGCAAAAAAAAATTTCACCTGCTCTCAGTTTAACTCATGGCAGGTTAAAGATTTTCTAGAAAATTTGGGGCAAACTTTTGATTCCTCTGGTCCCAGAAAATGTCTTGCCACAAAATTGAACAACTTTCACTTATGGGTATGCTGGTTTAGTGTGGCCACTGCAAAAGGCTCTGTGAACACTGTGAAAACAGCCTAAAATGTGAGATATTTCATGTTTAAAGACAGACTTAAGAAACTGTGGTCCACTTAGCTAGAATAAGAAGGTTCATCTATATGGTGGTATGGATTATTTCAGTGAAACCATTTCAATAATTAATGAGGTTCATCCTAAGTTTATTTTCATCCATCTTACGTTCAGGGTCATCCTCAAGACACTGGAGTTTTCTGTTCTCTAGTTTTGAGCTCACAAGGGTGTTATAAACCCAACTCACTGAAATGAACCATGCACCTGCTTTTAGCCCTCTCCCATTCCTGGTGATTATCTGAATCAGGATGATTATCTGAATGAAGAGGATGAATAGATTCCTCTAATAGGAAAGGAGTATCCCAACATGCAGAAACATCTCTCTCTCAACACATCTGCCCACACCACTCTCAGCACTTGCAGGACCAGGTGCACAGGCAAAGGCAAGCAGAGCTTTACCAACACTGTCACTAACACACAGGGCTTTGGTCTCCAAGAGATGGCACAAACCAGCAGCTTTGACATTGATCCCAGGCTGATCCAGCTCAGTTATGTCAATTTAGCCATTGCTTAGAACTGCCATGATACAAACAGGTACTGCAATATTGCTGTTCACTTTTGCTGAGTAGTGAGCAAAAACTAACTAGTCTTGTCTCTTTTTCAGCTTTTCTACTGGGAATTTTGCCAAGCTTTTTTACCCCCTCCTCCATTCCTTGATCTCAGGCAGTTACTACTGTGCCTACAACTACATTCCTCTTTTTTTAAAGGTTCCTCCTCTGCTTGTTTGTGCTTTCCAGCTTTGGAAGCCCAGCAAGATTAACAAAACACACCTGGTGACAAAAGCGTAGCAGTGTTAGTGATTTAAGGCTTGGACTAGAGATATTAGTTTTAAGCCTCCCTCAGTGGAACTCAGCTCAACTTCCAGTGCCACTCAGACCTCAGCATCTCTGTTGAGTTTTTTTAATCCTGAGGCACAGCGCCCTCAGATGGCTCCAGAACGAAGGCTGGAGCCCCGAGGGCAGAGCGTGAACTGCTTCTCACTACGGTTTAAGGATAAATCTCCATTATCAGGTCTGTTCTGACAAGCACACTTCCCAGGACCATCTGCTGGGAGTCACTGCCGAATGCCCCACTGACTTCCTACTTTCAAGTTATCAGCAATAATTGCAAACTACTCAATGTCTTAAGCATCTCAGCCTTCACCACTGGGAAACTTTCTGTCCCACACAAGATTACCTGCTCCCACCAGGATGCTCAGAGGAGAGCCAGGCCCTGCAGAGCCATCTGAAACTACAGCCTCGGGCAGAGAAACCTTGACATTTGTAGTGGGAGCAGGTTCCCTGACCACAGCTCCCAGTGAACACCGATGGCAGGAGCCTGGGAAGAGGCAGCTGCACAGCTGCCACAGGATCAAACCAGGATGGCACCAAGTCATCCCTTGCCCCGTGGCTGGGGGACAGTGACACAAGGTGTTCCCTTCACGGAGACTCCTCTACAGCACCCTCGGGCTCTGCGGCCCACCCACAACGGAACCGCTGGGCCTGAGGCCCCTCAGGCATGGCTGAGGCAGCTCCACAGTGGAGAGCCAAGGTGGGCAGAACACCCACCATGGGCCAGCGGCAGTGCTCGGCAGGGCCCGGGAGGTGAGGGGACAGCGAGGGTCACCTCGCTGAGGGCAGGTGAAGCACAGGCATCCCGCCTCATCGGGCTGTCAGTAGCAGCCCATGAAGGGGAGCGGGGCGGGATGGCGGTGCCAGCCCTGAGGAGGGGAGAGGGGCGGGATGGCGGTGCCAGCCCTGAGGAGAGGAGCGGGGTGGGGTGGCAGTACCAGCCCGGCGCAGGTGCTGAGGGAGGCGAAGGAGTCGCTGCGGTTCAGCGCGTGTCCCGAGTAGAAGCAGAGCCGCTCCCGCGGGGGCCGCCGCGCCTCCCCGCGCCGCCGCTCCACCGCGAAGCCCCGGGCCAGGAAGCGCAGGTCGCGGCGGAGGTGCAGGTACAGCTCGGCGCCGGCGGCGGGCAGGCGGAGCAGCACAGCCTCCTCCTCCTCCTCCTGCTCCGCCGCTGCCCGCCGGCGCCGGGGGCCGCCGCGATCCCCTCCGGGCGGCAGCAGGTGGATCTTCTCCAGCGGCACTCGCTCCGGGATCACCACTTCCAGCTCCGCTCCGCCAGCTGCAGGCGAGAAGGAGAGAGGCTCAGGCGCTCGCACCCCGGAGCTGCGGCCCGACGGGGCGGCCGAGGGCTGCGGCACCCCCCGCTCCCCGGGACAGCCCTGCGCTCGGGTTTCAGCGCAGACAGCCCCGCGCTGGAAACTGTGATCGGGCTGCGCGGACAATGGAGCCAGGGGAGCACGGCGATTTATTTCTCTCTATATACACATATATTAGAGACAGAAACGTGCAGGGAAGAGAGGAATAGAGCAAACACTAAAGCTACTTGTATCATTAAAAAAAATATATATAGCTCAGACACAAGCATCGCATTTCACCAACCCCAATAAAATCTGCAGGGAGAAGGGGAAAAGCAGAGCGAGCCGCAGCAGCAGCCAAGGACAGTCAGCAGCTTTCCACATGGAACGCTACAGCAGCAGCGGGAGGACAGGAAAAGAAAATACAAAAGCCTGGAGCAATTCGTCCCGCGGGCTGGGACCGCGGCCACACAGGGGATGCGGTGCGTGCCCTGCGCTCCGCGCCCGCACGCTGCTGCCCAGAGCCGGACCCTGTCAGCGCCGCCGGGGAAGGGGAGCCGGGGCGGCAGGGAGCGCTACCTGTGCCGGCGTCCAGTCCGCAGAGCAGCAGGCAGGGCACGACGAGGGGCAGGAGGCAGCCGTCAAACATGGTAGTGCGGCGGCGGGGCGAGCGCGCAGCACGGCGACGGGAGCGCGGCCCGAGTGCGCCCTGCCCGCGCTCGGCACCGGGGATCGCCGCGGCGCGCGCCCGGCCACGCCCCCCGCCGAGGCTCCGCGCGCCCATTGGCGGCGGCGGCCGCCGGGACGCGCCCCCCGCTTCCCCATTGGCTGCGCGCCGGCTGCGCCGCGCGGGGGGAACGCACGTGGGCGCGGGCGGCCGACAGGGGGCGCCCTCTCCTGCCCCGGCCCGGCCTCTGAGGGACCCGCGGGGTGCCCCGGGACCCGGTGTCAGTTCGGGACCCGCGGGGCCACCGGGGACATCCCGGCCGGGTCAGGGGGTCTGACGGACAGCATCCTGCCGCTGGGCAGCCCCGTAGAGTTTCCTCATCACTAATTGAATTTAGACACTGCTACAGCAGCTCGCTTGTGAAAGTCACCCATTCCTTTCCCAGCACCATCCGCAAGACCGGTGCCAGGGCTTGGAAGACCAGGAAAAAGAATGAGGTTGGCGATATCATAGAATGGGTTAGGTTGGAAGGCACCACAGAGGGACATCTAGTCAAACCTGCCTGCTCAACAGGGTCATCCCAGACCACAGTATATGGACACACACAGATTTTGGGCAATGATCCCACATACTCCTGAAGCACTCATTATATCGATAAAAATACAAAACAAGTGCATAAAGCTCAAGAAATATAAAAATTTATTTTCGCTAGCAATTCCCATTTTCACTGAGGTCCTGCAGCCACTGGAGTTCTTCCCACCTGGTTGGGCCACATCCTGCATGCCCTCAGCTGTGCAGGCATCAGGAAAACTCAGTTTGGACAGGGGCTGTTGAAAGCAGGAGGGTGATTTTCAAGAGCAGAAAGGTTTCCGCTGCGTTTGGTGGGCTTTGGATGGGATCCTGTGCTCCTGGCATGGCTGAGTCATGGAAAGCAGTCAAGACCCAACCTGTTAGCAGCTTTAAATTGTGGTGGCCCAGCAGAGCAGTGTCCTAGGGTTTAAACTTCTACAAAAATCTGCAATTTTGTTACTGAAATTGTAGAGGAATTCAAAGGAAGACCCATAAAAGAGTGTGAATGACTCTGGCAGATCTCCCTGCAGCACTTCCACAAGACTTGTCCAGAGCCATACTGACAGCGGGAATGGCTCTGAGTTGCAAACAAGCAGAATTAGGTTTGGACGCACACCCCAGGGAAGGCAGGCATTGGCAGAGTGCTGAGAAAAGGGCTGTTTGGAGCTGGGAAAAGGACTGGTGAGAGACAAGAGCATGTTAACACCATTCTCTTTCTTCCAGGCATTGAACAGGCAGCAAGAGCCACGTCTCCTTAGCGAGCTGCTCCTGTACAAGGAGAGAGGCTGTTTGAGAGCCAGAATCTTGGAGCTGCCTCCAGCTCTTCACACTGCTGGCTGTGCTTCTCCCAGGCATCAAGAGACACCCATGGCACACTCAGAAAGACCTGCCCTGCACAGGACTTCTGCAGCACCTTATGGGCACAAGAGTGTGTTCCACCTCCTGCTGTGGCCTCAGGAAAGCCTCTTGTCCCTCCAGTGGGATATCACTTGGAGGACATTCCCTGTGGTCAGCTGCAAGAGCTAAACTGAGGACCTGCAAGCAGCTCCCAGCAAGCAAAATCAAAGTAAGCCAAGACCCATGGCTCACACTCTTCATTAAAATGAGATCAGGTGAGATTTAATAGCTCTGTGTTTCCCGCTCTTTCAAGGCTCACTCTGCTCCTTATAAGAATTTACCAAAGTAATGGGACTGGCCCAGACCCATTCAAGTGAGACAAAATCTCAGTTTGGGGCTGCCTTGCTCTGTGTCAACAGTGTAACATAACACGGAAAACAAAACCTCATAGCCTGAATTTCCCTCCTGACCCGTTGTGAACCAACAATTTCAGTGCCTCCCTCCAAGGGCAGGGCCCCGGCTGGCACAGAGTGGGGCAGAGCTCCCCCACAGCTCCTCCACCCGTGGCAATCCTCTGCTCCTGAGAACCACGAGGCAATTTGATTTGTGAGCTGCCAAACCTGGCCTGAGCCCTCAACAGCCACGTTTAAACCCAGACCACCAGCTGACTTCATTTGCTAAGGGACTGGAGCTGGTGCCTCAAAAGGGTTTGACAAGGGGGCTTAGATTTGTTTAACTTTCTAGTAGATCCTTTCTCCCACCTTCCAAAGTCCTCTGCCAGAAAAACAATAACAATACAGAGAAAGAATAAATTTAATAGTGTGGGGGAAGAGAGGCACTAATAAAGAGAAGTCTGTAACTTACTGCATGGAAGGACTTGCTCAGTGGCTGGGTTGGCTGGCACAGACTATACTGGGGTATGGGTAATCCCAGTAGAGCATCCCAGACTTACAGAGCATTTGGACAGGAGCCCAAGAAGCTGGAAACCCCAGGACAGGGACAACATCCCAGGCAGGCCTCGGTGTTGCCAAGGGCTGGAGCCAGGAGCGAGGGACAAGCCCCACAGTGGTACCCACACAACAAAAGAGGAATCTGTCTTAGGAGCAGCACTGGTGGTTTTCTTGAATGCAAATCCCAAAGTTCCAGCGAGACACAGACTCTATTAATTGAACACCACAGGCTTTTCAGAAATGCCTTTGAATTGTTACTGATAAGAATAAGGTGTGTGTGGCAGGAGGGGGCTGTGGTCCTGCTGTGGTGGCTGTGCTGTTCCCCTGCTACCAGCCCGTGTGGGGAGGGAAAGGGGGGGGTGTTTCATCTCACCATCACAGAGGTGGATTTGGCCCTGCAGTTCCTAGGAAACAAGCCCTTTCCCCTCTGAAACTGCTGTTGGGGTAGGGTTTTTTTCAATTTTAAATGTGCATTGAGGAAGCCAAGTTTCATGGCCATTATTGCAGAGTTAATAACCCTTTGGAGACTGCAGACATGTGTTATATCCATCTTCCCAAGCAGTCACTTGGCTCACCGCCTGGAAAATGCCAGCATGGGAAGGGTTAACTTGGCCACTGCTCAGCCTTCTCCCTTCTCTCCAGCCACCCTTCTCCAAACCCTTCCTGTCCTGGTTCTCTCCCCGACCTCACAGGTGCTGCTCTCCTGCCGGGACACTGGGATGCTTTTCCTGCTCTCCCCGCAGCTCCTCCCCTCTCTGCAGCCTTTGGGAATCGGGAATTTCCTCCCCTCCGGGGGCTGCAGAGCTTGGCCGGGCTGGTTGGGCACGGACCTGGCAGGTGCTGCTGTTACCTGTGCAAATGACCCCACAAAGAAGCCAGAGACACTTTAGTGACAAGTAGGGACCAACAAAATCTCTTTTGTAACTTCAAACCATCAACCAAATAAATACAAGCAGTTTCAAAGGTGCCAACAGTGGTTTTCTTACAGACTGGCTTTACACATGGAGCCAGAGGTTCAATTAAAGCTCTTCTCTGAGTGGAGGGTGTTTCAGGCTGTGCTGCTTCATGCTGGATTCACTTCTTACAGGTGGTCTCAATGATCTTTAAAGTCTTTTTCAGCCTAAACAATTCTAAGTGGAATCACCAACATCTAGCACTGTTCATGCAGCCCTCAGCAGAGGCACTTAGGAGATTTCTCCTTACAGCAACCTGAATTCTCCCAGGCCTGCAAGAGAAAAACTCTCTCTGGGACACCTCTCTCAAGTCTGGCTCAAAATGGACAGTCTGTCCATGAGCTCCTGGGAACAGAAGAGCAGAAAGAAAAGTGACAGTGACCCTGGAGGTGTCCAGGGACAGAGCTGAGTCACCAGCACCTGTGTCCTCAGGGGAGCAGGCAGCTTGGGCCAGCCATGGCAGGAGAGCTGTCCTTGTCTTCCTCCAGCAGGGAACCTTATCCACAGGCTGAGAAAGGGTCCTTTTTGTCGCAGGGAGTTTGCTGTGGCTGAGCTGTGTCTGTCTCACAGTGAGTGCATCACATGGAGTTTCCCTCAAGATCTTCCCTACAAACACTTCCCCCCCAGCTATCTCCAGGGGGCTCCCAGCTTCACCTGGCTGCAATGGGGAAAACACCCTGCTTCCATGGAATACTGAGAAATGAGAAGAAAAATACTCCCGTGGGATAGGGGCTGAGGAATGGACTCCTGAAATTCCAGGTTGCTTCACATCTGGCTCCATTCCCACCCTGGTGCCACTGCTGTCTGTGCAAAGCCTTCCAGGGTAACTTTGGTGCAGATTTGGAGGGATCAGTTTGCAACTCTGTCAGGACCAGAAGATAACTGCACACAGGCCACAGTGAGTGAGAAAAGTCAGGAATATAAAAGAACATACTCCCAGCTGAGCAACACAATGGCAGGGTGCTGGGAGAATCCGCTCCCTCAGGGCAGGCAGCACTTTGTGTAGAGAAATCAGAAATGTTAAGTGCACCATCACCTCCAGGCAGGCCATGCTGGGATTTTCAGCCACAGACAGGACTAGTCCAGGTCAGTTTGAGATCGGGAGGCTGTGCACAGATAGCCATCGGCCAGGCCAGAATGGTCAGCCACGCGTCACTCCCCAGGCATGCGGGGACAAACGGACAAAGCAAAGAGCTGCTGTTGTTTGACCCCAAAGTTCAGCCAGGCTTTTTATGAAGTCCAGCACTGCCACCTCTGATGATGTTATCAGGAACCTGGGAATAGCTGGCACTTTTTTTTGTTATGATTTATGGTTTGTTTGGGTTTTCCCTCTCTGGACCTTGGCTCCTGCAATCATGAGATTGATTTCTCATTTAACTTCATGTTTGACCCCCTGTCAGGCTGGGAAAGTGAGCTAGGAGAAGCCTAGAAGGTTTTCTCCCAGGAGCAAATTAAGAAGTTCCCAACCACAGGATTGTTTAAGATAATCTTGTCTTGAAAATGATGCTATTGATTATTTTTGTGTGTGTGTGTGTGAGGCAGAAGTTCTGAATGCTTGGAGCTGACAATGGCAAAGCCCTTCATGGAGGTGCCATCTCCCTGGCACTGGCAGTATCCCACATCTGATGCTTCCCATCTCCTCTCTGTCATCTCCCTTTGTACCCAACACCTG